AAATCGAGTGATTGTAGCCATTTGTTGGCATTGTAAGTCATGTAAGAAAGATACGTACTGCATCTGTTTTATTTTAACCATTCTTCTATTGTAATTATTAATTTTGTATCACAATGAATGTTTGTGATGAATGTTCATGACAATGTGAACTCCAGCTTCACGTTTAAGCACAGCGTTTAAGTCACCAGACTTTATGCTCGGGCTTCAGACGGCAGTATGTATTCGACAGGCTGAATAGGCTAGCCACATGTACGCAGTGCATACCTATTTTTTGTAACATGTACTGTATTTGCAAATACGTACCCCTAAAGAACCTACACGAGTGGCCAAGAATTATCCTACCAGTAGTCAGTAGACTAAGTATTAAAACTGTCTGTACCAGTGTGGGTAGTACCAATGTGAAAATGCTCCGCTGAGTGGCTATATTACACCGTAAGGGTGTAAGGGCAAGTTAGGTTTACATGTATCCACCAATGATATTAATCTAGACTCAATAGAACATTTAACTAAACTGAACTACATTTTAATATGTGGTATATTTGAAAATCCCACACGATGAAATGATGGTGAGCCCTAATGTAACACTGTTTATTTGTGCATTATATAGGCGGTGGGCCAAAAATATTTCGCTTCGTGGCAACCCCCTGGGGAATAGATTTTCTGTGGTTGAACGCATATATAGTACCATAGATGCTCGATTACCATAAAAAGTTCCCAAGCAAAAAACTTGCCAAACACCGAGAAAATGGGTGATCAATAAGAAAATATTGCTGCAAGAAAATGTGAAATTTTGTATTCAATTACAACACAAATGACTTCATCGTCAGAAAGCTTACAAAAAAACCGCATATAAGACTTTTAAACAGTTTTTTTATCCTTCAAATAGTCTTTGAGTAATTGCTGTTTTAAATGTGAAAATTGGACCAAAATGTCGCAATAAGGACTGGGTATTAGGTCAACAGCGTATAACTCGAAAACAATTTGAGATATAAAAAACTGTTTAAATGTCTTATACATATATTTCTGTAAGCTTTCTGATGATACAAGTCATTATTGCTGTAATTGAATATAAAATTTCACATTTTCTTGCTGTAACACAATATATAATTTAATAGAGGATAATCACTGCATGATCACTCATTTTCTCGGTGTTTGGTAAGTTTTTTGCTTGGGAACGTTTTGTGGTAATTGAGCATCTATGGTACTATATTGAATTGAACCACAGAAAATCGATTCCCTAGGGAGTTGCCACAAAATTGCTTTTCTAAGCACTTTTTCGCACAACGGCCCACGGCCTATTAAGGACACATCTACTTTGAACTTAACATTGAAATAGAATAGCAATTGACTACAATTTAAGTAAGTAGTGGGCCAATGTGTAATCGAGTGAGATTGTCATTCAACTGGTGGATGACACTGAGGGACAACCCTGTACTGTTGTCAGAAGATTTCTCCCCTCTTTTTCTTGCAGCAGATAATGGTCTTATAGCTACCATTTTATATCTTGGGGTGTGTTTCTAAATTTCCAGGGTGTGCCCATGTCCATTACCAACTGAATAGCCAAAAACACGATTCCAGTTATGCTCGTCAACAATTGACTATACCTGTGGTTTTTCTATGCTTTTCAACCAAATACATGCAAGGCGAGCATACGCTCATATTTTGCAGTGACATTGTAATAAGTTATTTTAGCAACTCCATTTTAACAACCATGCATGCGGTGCGCTGGTGCCCATTGTCCATCAAAACATTAAAACATCACGGGTCACTTTTATACCAATTTCAGCTAGCAACTACAGTAGATTTTACAATGAAAGAAATTCTCTGTGTTGTAAGTTGCAACACTTTATGCACCGATATCCATGCACATCGCTCGGTGTATCGGTATCGGCTTATCAGTACTGAAATAGAAATATCGATATCGGTAATTTTATGTTGATATTACATATTACAAACTGTTATTAAATATTAATTTATTTATTTATTATATGCTTTGCCAATTCCACACAATCATATATCTGCACAAATACAAACACAAGAAAATACAAACTATCAATCAATGGCAGGGTATATGCTACAGCTTTACGCCAATTACAGCAGCCCTTGCAGAACGAACATAACACATTCTTCATTAGGTCTTTAGTAATATAAAAAGGCCAGTTTGCACCTACAAAAAAACCCCGCAGGATAGGAACGGAAAGGAAAGTTACATACTGCTAAAGTTGTTAGTTCCAACGCCGTCCGCTCCTGCGGAGAATTTTCCTGAGTGGAAATTAGCCGACAATGAAGCTTAACAAGACGAACACAGGGACCCACATTAGAATTTACCTGTGGAACAGTCTTTCATCAGAACTGAAATCTCTAGTAATTAACTCTAGTAAATCCATATTTAGAGCCAGGCTACGCGAGTTCTATAATGCTAAATTACCATCATATAGTCCTCCTGGCTGCATCTAAGTAAATTTAATGTTATATAATATAGTTGTTTGTTTAATCATATACTAGTATTGGTAGGGGTAAAGTGTCAATTGGGACGCAAGTCCTGTTCTTTTCTCCAGTCACGTCTATGTTTAGTGTGTTATCTTGTAAGAATGTTGTGTTAGTGTTGCTTGTTTGCTAGTGTACATTTTTTGTATATATCTATATAAAGGTGACGAAATTATTAAATAAATAAATAAATTAACAGCACGAATTTGAACAAGACACATTGCGGGACTTGTTATAAGACAAACATATACAGACTTCCATGTTCTAGGATTTTCTGCGTCGTAAATGTTTAGAGCCGATTTGTAATATTCATATATAGAGATCGCTTTTGAAACGACCTAAGCTTATGTTCTTTGTTGTCAACTCTTTTGGCAGAACATTCCATACTCTCGCACACCTGGATACAAACGATCTCTGGAATGTTGCAGTCCTACACTTCGGTGTGGTGAACTTCAAACAGTCGGGGTCATCTGATCGCGTTGCTTTCTGCCGGATCTGAGTTGATGGTAGAACGTTGCCATTGATGTTTATTATCCCATTTACGCATTTAAAGTAAAACACCAGATCGAGAAATTCGTGCCAATAGCAGAGCGGAATGAGGTCGGTTCGAGTCTCTTACTATATGGTAGATCCAAAATAAACTTTCTCGCGCGCCTCTGGATTCTTTCCGTGCGTTTGCGTGCATCACTAAAAATAGACAGATTTAGAAAAGACGACGCGACCTCAAAGACGACGTGAAAATGATGTGTACACCTCGCGTTCACTTCCAGGTTTTAATCTGGGACGGCTTGTTTGTCTTTTTCGAAGCAAATTTTTGTTTTCTTGTTACCTGTTCATCCCTGTATTGTTTTCGTTCAGTTGTCAAGTTACAGTATGTGCAAGAAAAGGATATATAATACTGGCCAAATGTTTCCTGATGAATTAGTATGAACATTCAATAGGTTTTTTTTAGAAAAGGACGTATATTTCGGTATTTTGAAAAGTGAACTTTGTTGCATCATTTGGAATAAATACAATAGCTGCAGGTATTGTTTACGAGCTAAATGCTTTATTTTGTAGCCTATTCAATCAAGTTTCTCAACTGTTTAGTATAAATATGGCATTAGTGCTTATATTGGTAAAATTTAATACTGTTTACGATAGTTTTTCACGCTGGAAAGCGTATTTTTACTTGTCCTACTTTTTCGCACTGTTGTGACAGAGAAACTAAAATTGATTGAGTTTTTACTGCTTATAAGTGCTTTTATTCTTCTACCTTCCCAAGTTTTCCTGATTTTAAACAGTTGTTAATATAATTTCAGTCCCGTTTGTTCTAAAATGTTAGTTTTGGTGAAGAATACTAGCGGTATTGAAGTGGTTATTAACAATGCTTGCAGTTTTGTTGATTTGTTATATGGGGATCGAAACTATTTGTCGAAAATCAATACGTCCAAAATTTAGCGAAATACAAGAAAAATTGACCTTGTCAATGGAAAAACTTTAGCTAGTATTATTAAACAATACATGGGGAACAATTTAGGATGATTTTTATTATGCATATATATAGTCTCATATTTTTTTCATAAAAAGCAAAAATCTGTGACGTTCTAGAGAGGACGTGAAAATTGTATTTTCGCGTTGTGAATTCATCAAAGACGACGTCGCAAACCAGAAGCTGACGTGAGTTGGCGCCAAATGACGACATCCACGTCGTCTTAGAGGTCGCGTCGTCTTTTCTAAATCTGTCTAATATATAATGAAGACGCGTTCGTTTCATCTAGCCATGTTTTTACATTTTTGGCCACAATAACACGGCCTAATTCTAGCTAGACCCTGAAGCAGATTTTCCTATGTACGGGATTCATTTGGAGATCTTTCTCGAAAGACTGCCTGGCAAGGTGTGTCTGTAATATACTAACTGACTAACTGCATGTGATTTTCATGTTTAAGTGAAGGGTTAAGGATTGCGTTGGTAAGGTTAAGAGTTTGGCTCTTTTTTAGCCTTCTACACAGCTGCTATGTTGAAAAAGATATAACGTTTTTGCGAAAAATCACACAAAGTTGGGAAGTTAGTATATACAGACAACATCCTTGCAGGGACGATGTTGAGCACTGATGGATCAAGCAGACATTCTGCAATTAAATGTCACAATTTAGTTAAAATCCCCACTATGAAAACCCAACAGCCAAACTTTAAATTAGTCCACTTGAACATCAGATCGCTACGCAACACTGCCCATTTGACGCAGCTCAAGGAATTCCTTTCAAAAGACAAAAACCGAAGCGCTTACACTATCAGAAACGTGGTTGAACACTACGATAACGAATGCTGAGATCTACATCGAAGGTTATATATCATACAGACAAGGTCGCTTAAATAAACGTGGAGGTGGTGTTTGCGCATACATCCGAAATGACATTAAGGTCTCCAAACTCACGGAAATTTCATCTGTTTCTGAAAACTATTTCCATCAGCTTTGCCTGAAACTTCAAAGTAAAAAGTTAAAATCTATCGTAATATGCATATCCTACAGACCACCAGAGTGTCCGCTGTCCTGCCTAGAAACCAACTTGAAACCGTGTTTTGTCCAAGCCCTTCTACTAAACAAGCCCATTTTTATATTGGGAGATCTGAATTGCAACGTTATGAAGGATTGTCCAGAGAACACAGTACTAGGAAATTTCATGTTCGAGATGAACTTGAACCAATTAATCATAACACCAACTAGAATAACAGACACTAGTGAATCGTTAATTGACGTGATAATAACTTCAGCTTCCCATCTTGTCAACGAAAGTGGTGTCATGGATACTATTATAAGTGATCATTTACCGATGTACGCAGTTCTTAATATGAAAGCTACCCAAGCCACCACCTCAATATATCCTAACGCGAAGCTACAAGGACTATGACGGAGAAAGGTTCACCGCCCACCTTGCATCAAGATCGCAAGAGCTTATTTCCATCTTTTCGGATTCCAATGTCAATTCCAAACCCGACAAGTTTAACAACGTCCTTCTTACAACTTTGGATGTCCATGCTCCAGTCAGAATAACTAAGATCCAAAATCGCTCTTGTCCCTTCATCACAACACATATCAAAAACCAAATGTCCCACAGAGACCAACTCCATGCACCGTCGTTACAAACGAACACATGATATCGATGATTGGAAAGCATTTAAAAAGCTGCTGAAAACAACACGTTCATAAAGATAATTCTAGATCGTTGTGGAAAGTGATTAATAGATGCATTCCATCTAAAGATAAAAGAATTTTGACATACCACAAAATACATTAGAGGTGGCCAACGATTTGAACCAGTTATTTCAATCTATGGGAAAAAGAGCTGCCGAAACAGCTAAAATGTTAGCCCTACAAAATAATCTAAATATATCAACTGAGTTGGAGCCTCAGAATAGGAGATCTGAACTCTTCTCTTCGGAATTGTTCAAGTTCACTCCCGTCACATGCACAGAGGTTCAACACATAATAACAACAATGCCGTCGAATAAATCTCCAGGACCAGACAAAATCAGCATGCGGATTATTAAGGATTGTCTTCCGGTCATACTCGGCCCATTGACAGACATCATTAATAACTCATTTACCACCTCGGCGTTCCCTGAGTCCTGGAAAATAGCAGAAATTATACCAATCTTAAAGGAAGGTGATCATGAAGTTGCTGCAAATAACCGCCCACTTTCAATGCTTAAAGTACTATCAAAGATCTGCGAAAAAGTTGCTCTAAATCAATTTAGCGGTTTTCTTAACCGCACTGACCGCCTATCCCAACAAAGTGGAAACAAAAAGTATCATTCAACCGAAACACTCAGTATATTAGTCAATGATGTTTTGCTAAAATCGATGGACAACAAAAAGCTTACTGCTCTAGTCCTTTTGGACATCTCAAAAGCGTTTTACAGCGTGGATCATTCAATCCTGCTGAAGAAACTAAGCAATATTGGGGTTTCAAGTGAAGCCCTTAACTGGTTTGAAAGCTACATTATAGATAGAAAGCAGTTTGTTCGCACTGGCTCCCCGGTATCCGAATTTCTACCAATCACTCATGGAGGCTTATGGAGGTCACCGCTATTGTTCTGTATCTATATAAATGACCTCTCAAGAGTACCACAAGCATCTGAGTTGGAATCATTCGTCGACGATTCTAAGATCTTTATGTCATTTCCAATTGAAGATATTGCTAGTGCAAAAACAAAGATAGAAGAGGACCTCAAATTGGTCGCAACTTGGTTTTTCGAAAATAAACTGTTGATAAACCCCGAGAAGACAAAGTTACTCTTGATAGGAACTCGTCAACTGCTTGGTAAGCTCCTTGAGGAGACGACAATTACATTTATTGGTGAAGAGATTACACCAACCACAAATGCCAAAGACCTGGGATTAACCCTAGACAGTTATCTGACATACGATTCCATATAAAAAAAATGTTTTATCTTGTATGGCCAAGCTGTGTCAGATATATAAACAGAGTAAAGGATAGCTTTGATATAGGGATAGTCTTCGCTTAATTATCAATGCTTTAGTAATGAGCAAACTTTATTATTGCTCTACAGTATGGTAAAACACTTCTGCAAAGAATATAAACAAATTGAGAGCAGTACAGAATTTTGCTTGTGGGATATTGACAAATACGCGGGAAGATATGATCATGTAACACCAGCACTATACGGGCAATTCGCTGGCTTCCTGTAGAGGAACGCTTAAAATATAGAGAGATACTAATAACATACAAATGTATGAACGGATTAGAACCACCTTACCTATCCAAATTATTTATAAAAAGAAATGAAATTCACGATCTAAATACAAGGGATAATAAAGCGCTACACATCCCTCAACACAAAACAGTTTCAGGACAAAGAGCCTTTTATTACAGAGCGGTGAAATTATGGAATGACTTGGATGAAGATCTAAAAAAGTTACCTTGGAAAAGATTTAAAACTGAGTTAAAGCAGAAGATGCTAAACAACAATTAATTACATTTCCTGATATTATAGATTTAATAGATTTTAAATAAATAATAAATATATAATTATACTTCTGATCTCATAGACAAATAGATTTTAAATAAACGCTGTAAATAGGAATTTTAATTCTAATATAACTATTCGTTCTGTAAATAGGTATTGAAAAACTCTCTCCGGAATACTTAATTGAATAATAATAATAATGATAATAATAATAATAATAATTAAGTATATAAAAGATCGAGATTACTAACTAAAACTACTCTATATAGAACTGATGTAATGTACTATAGTCATAAAAACAACTCAAGTGTTTATCTCCTGCGTAAACGCAGGGCAGTCCACTGAGAAAACAGGCAGTTAAATGTTCATACTTGTCTACATTAGTAAAATTTAAGTATATTAGGGTTCGTCCATTCTTTGTTCCGCCGTATATAAATGTAGAAGGAAGCCCTAATGGCCACTTCCATACACTTGGAGATCATCCTTTGAAAGTTAATATTAGTTCCCTTAAATAACACTTTTATATCTTCAAAGTGAGATGTTACAATTCCAAGAGAAGTTATTTCGATCGAGAAAAATTGAAAGCCTCTCCATCTGTCTTTACTATCTTGTTGTAATGTCCTGTATTTTGCTTGCTTATATTCTCTTGATTTCTCTGCATTCGTTTCGAAGCAACATGTAAGTTCTATTACATATAGGACACCATTCTTTATTAGGGCGATGTCTGGCCGAAAAGTCTGAAAGATTTCGCTTGTCCTTCGATACCCATCTAGATCGCCGTATAATTCAAAACCATATAAACTGAGCTGGCTTAGTAAACAAAATGGAATCGTGACGCCATGTGTAACGGCCTTTTGTCGCTGCAACTGAACAATTCGCCAACATATGTAGCTGGGTTTGTCGTTGAGTTCCACATACACCACAAGAATCAGACTCCACTTTACCCCAACGTTTCAGGTTTGAGTTATTTGGCAGGCTAAATATTAAAGCTTTTCTTATGAAGACATATATATTCTTGGGCATCGAGACCGTGATTTTGTTCCACCAACTTATAATTTTCGTCGATGATATCCGCCTCATGATCTGCATAATCGTACCTTGTTCCTTTAGAGTCATAATATGTTCCAAAACGTTGTTTTCAGTTTGGTTTGATAATTCCTTTCTCGGGCGTCCTTCACAGTTTACAATTAAGGAATCTGTGTGTATATAGTTTCCAGATGTTAAATGGAAAAGGTCTTGAATTTCCTTGTTGATAGATTTAAAAAGAACTTGTCGCATGCTGAGCTTACAGTACTTTAACACGTCCGAGGGCAATTGGAATCCCAATCCAAATTTGTTAACAGATAACTTTAGGTGGGTTAGATTGGGGCCTTGGTGGAAATGCAACCATCGTTTTACATAATGGATTACTTTACCATCTAGGCTTTTTGTAGCCCAGGATTCAGATAAATGATATACTGATAACCGCCACCTTAGCTTATTGTACACAAATTTGTTGATAATCAGCAGTTTATTCTTTGGGTGGAGCGAAAGTTTGTCTACTTTATCCAAATAACTGGTCAGCTCTTCCTCCAGCTCATTTCGGATTTCATCAGTTCCCATTGTATAACTGAACATTTTACCCAAATACCTGAACGATCCATCGATTTCGACTGGTGGAATCATCTCGTTGTTAACCTTCAAGTATGGTTTATATTGAGTCGACCTTCTTCCATTGTGTTTGATACCAAAAGTTTTGCACTTATCCGTCCTAATTTGTAACCCTGACCAGTTGCACCATTTTGAAAAAGCATTCAACATCATTTGATTTTCTTCCTCTGTCGCTGTAACAAGAGCCGTATCGTCCGCAAATTGGAACCAGTGTCTGGGTTTCAAAGTGTTACAGTAGTGATATCCCAGTGCCCGAGTACGCGCCTCTATACACTTAATAAGAGAATTGATACACATGTTAAAAAGCAGTGGCGAAAGACAGTCCCCTTGTATCACTCATTTACCAACTTTCATAGGACTTGTTACAAACTCTTTAGTTCCTATCGATACTGTATAGTCTTCGTATATATTTCGGATCAAACCTGATATTTCACTAGAAATGTGGTGGTACGTGAGGATAGTTTGCAATAGATTGTGGTGTACTACTACTACTAATAATAATAATAATAATAATGGTAATAATAATAATGAAAACTTTATTAAATGGATATTTAGCTTATATACACAATTGCAAATCTCACTTATATCAGGTAATTTACAATTGGCTACTTAAATCACTGATTATATACACTGTATACAAAAATTAT